ACTTCAGTTGCACCAAAGCGCATTTGGACACTTAAAATGCATTGCATGAAGAATTTTATTAATTGATGTGGTTGTGTTCGGTTTAACCTCTTAACTATAAGTCACATACCTGGGTGATTTCATGGCACCTACACACATAGACTTTATAATTCATTGATAGATCAAGATAACAGTGAGATTCCACTGAAAGTTTTGTGCAAATATTTGCTTTGTGTAATGAACTAGAGTTGCACCAAAGCTCTTTTGGACACTTAAGATGCATTGCATTTAGGATTTCATTACATTATAGATAACAAAATAATAAAGCAATTTTTTTTTTTTTTTTAAGAAAGAAAGCACAAGCACATCTTTAAGCGAAACGTGGTCTAGATGTATTGTTTAAAAGTAAGCCAAGTGTTTGGCTTTCTAGTTGTTTAAAGTTAGTTCATTGTTAATGTGATGATTTGCATCTGTGGTTACTCTGCTAGGACACCGGTGTGAAATTAAGGAGAATTGTCGTGGAAGTGGAACACAAAAGGAGAAATTCTGAAGCGTGCACTGGCCTTTCTTTTCCATGCAATTACAATAAATGGAGAGACTGAAGCCTTCAAGCATCAAAAAGGATATGAAACACCACAGAATTATTAGAAGTGGCCTGTTCATTGTACTTTCATGGAAAATAACTTTGTACAATTCTTCCAGATTTTTACTTCGTTTCAAGGAGGAAAGAAATTCATATATGTTTTGAACATCATTGTGAAGACTTGTCAAGACATTGAGGCCATTTGTTTATACTGCCGTAATATGATATCCACCTTATTGCAGTTGTATTATTTTATTCATAGCAACACTGGAGTCTTGGCAACACTGTTTTATTCACCCATCATATACAGTCATTTAATGTTTATTGTCTTTTTTTTATCAGCTCACATATCACATAACAACATGCATAACACCAGTGACTTCTGACATCCATTAAAAGTAGTTTGCTTTTGGAATCTTGGAAAATTTAATCACAACATGCCTGATATTTCAAACTATTTACATGTTGTAGCTATATAATAGCTGAGTGAAAATCTGAAATTCTTTTTTGGAATAAATACAAACTTTGAGTCATTTGACAATTTCATTCTGCATAGATGTGTTAATATATAGATTGTGAACTAATTCCTGTATCATTTTTAATGGAATGTTGTTCTAATGTACAGTGTAGTGTTACAGAGGACATCTCATATCGTTTCCATTTGAATTGTATTGTGGTTGTTTGGTGTCCTGCATATCTTGTAAGGTGGCCTTTTGGTGACCTTTGTGATCTAGACAAGCCAACTTTTATCTTTGTAAGCATCTAATGGTGCCATATTCTTGTTTTTTTTTATGATTTTATTTTTCCCCTGCAGTCCTATCTTTTTATAACCCTGATCTGATTGTACCATTAAAGGAACACTCCACTATTTTTGAAAATAGGCTCATTTTCCATCTCCCCTAGAGTTAAACAGTTGAGTTTTACCGTTTTCGAATCCATTCAGCCGATCTCCGGGTCTGGCGGTAGCACTTTTATCTGTAGCTTAGCATAGATCATTGAATCTGATTAGACCCATTAGCATCTCGCTCAAAAATGACCAAAGAGTTTCTATATTTTTCCTATTTAAAACTTTACTCTTCTGTAGTTACATTGTGTACTAAGACCGACGGAAAATGAAAAGTTGCAATTTTCTAGGCCGATATGGCTAGGAACTATACCCTCATTCCGGCGTAATAATCAAGGAACTTTGCTGCCGTACCATGGGTGCAGAAGGTGCAATTATATTACACAGCGCCTGAAAATAGTCCCCAGCTAGGTAACTTCCAATAAGCCTATTTTCAGGCGCTGCGTAATATCAGCCTATTTTCAAAAATAGTGGAGTGTTCCTTTAAGTGGTTTGATCACAGACAGTTTTTGCTTATTGTTCTATAACAGGGGTGTGCAAACCTGTTCCTGGAGGATCACTGTCCTGCAGAGTTTTGCTCCAACTAGGTGATATACCGGTTCAAACAGTAAACCGGTTTGAATTACACACACGGTATACTTTTTTTTTTTTTTTAAACGGCATACCAGAACAAGTGGCTAAGCAACATGGACAGTGTCGTGAATTGAAAGGGGATGCTGTTAACTGCATACACTTCTGACTAATGGTTGGAGAACTTTTAGAACTGAGCCAGAGACGCTGGAGACGAACACAAAGAGGAGAAAATACTGTAGCAGGCCGAGCAAACTCACTGCACCATGCACGACATATTGGGGGGTTATGTGAATATATCTCTGAGGGGAACTGACTGTCTTCAGAAAAGTTTAGATGGTATTTTCTTTTCATCTTACCTCCATATATATTGCATATTTATGTAGTATTTAAAAGCACAGCCTGCTTTGTTTACAGCAGTAACCAAGGAAACATTGTATCGCTGCTGTTCCATAAGCGCCACCTGCTGTTAGAGAGTGAATTTATGCTTCATTCAGCCCGTCTGCTGTTTTTGTTTCATGCACATATGTTTTAAGTAGCATCATTTCACAAAGCTACGGTCAGACCATTCAGTTTTTGCTTCAAATTTTGAAATTTTACTATCTATTTTACATCAAAAACCGTTCATGCTACATGTAGCATGTTTGTTTGGGTCGTGATTAAAATGCAGTGGTTTTGCAACTTTCATGCATTCTGATTTGTATAAAGGCACAGTCAGGGAAAAACTGTGATAAATGGTGAAACCATAAGAATCCTAAAAAAAGAAAAAGCGATACAGATTTTTGGTCAGACCGCCTAGCACTAGCTCCAACTAGGCCTGGGCGATAAAACGGCATCGATATTTATCGACGGTACACCTCCTTCAATATCGATAGAAAAAATGTTCGATATCGCGCACGATATAGGCACGTACTATGAGTGACGCAGACAGCGGCCCTCCTGTGGCCTCGGGAGACAATTAGACCTATACAATTAAGACCCATTTAATCTGCATATAAAACATATTTTTATTGTGTTTGATTGTTAAAACAAAAAATATTTGTTTTGTCTCAATAAATTGTGTTAATTATAAATACAGTGGTTAAATTTAAACATTTTTTTTCTATTGCTTTTGTTTTAAAAAA